TGAGAAGCACCCCGTTTAGCACGACGCTAAATACCAAAGTTATGTCTATAAGAATAGCTCCTAGCAGCAGTGCCTCTAAAACCAAACGTTGAAGTGTGCAAAGGCGCACAACAGGCTGCAGCGTCGCTCGCACAAAGACAAATTGCCAGTTGGCCTTCACCCCCTCTAACTGTTTCAGAAACAGTGCCCGAATGAATCGTTGAGAAGAACCAAGGACATAGCAGTTGGTCGACAGTCCTCCGGCTCAACTGCCGCAGACATGTTCAGTAGCGAAGTGATTCGAGCGCTTGACCAACAATCAGGAATGATTCATTCATGAAGGCAAATAGAAGACGTGGTGGATAATGTCGCTGAACTCCGTCTTGCACATAATCAAAGTCCTTGCCATAACATCACCAGGTCCAACAGCACTGTTTCATCAAAACAAATCATACGGTAAACGAGAGAATACATACACAACACCATTTCTGACAAATTGGGCTGGATCAAGCTTCTGAACGTATCTGGATGGATTCCTAAGGGTTCATCTGGATTAAGTGAGGAATAATTGAGTGCTAAAATGTTTCAGTTCTGCCATACTAAACACTAGTCTCGCTCAGAGTCGCCTTCGCGTTTGATTTACACTAGGCCAGAAGGTCGTGCAACTGATGGATCGGATCGGTGAGAATGTTCCTGATGAAAGCCAGCGTCGCGTGTCGGGATGGAATGCCCGCTGCTTCGGCAGAAAGCTTCAAACAACAACGTAGGACACCATAATCGCTGACCGACATGGGTGCAAAGAACACACGTGCTATATACAGACACAGAAACGAGTACCACAGAAGCCAAGTGGGCGTACCCGATTCTCGCAATCGTCGAACGTCAAAAGATACCTTCCTCACTTTCGACGCAACATGCCGAATGTGGTCTATCCAGGTTCAAGAAACATTCAGATGTAGGTACACTAATACGGCTGTCATTGTCCGTGAAACTGTTGGTACTGGCTAGGGCTTCTGTGCCGGAAGCCGAAATGTATGATTAAATGAAAAAGACAACTCTTATATCACGCACAAAGTTATTCGTACCTCAAAGGTAGAGAGTTTATATTTGATTGGCGTGTACTGTAAGTGACATTCCGGAAAAATAGACTACCAGTTTTGCCTACAGTTTGTTTATGCACTGTTTATTGGTATTTACGTAACTGACACCACTTTGCCTGTTAATTCAACGACAACTGCCACGAAAAAAGAAGCCAGTCATGAACGCAACTTTACATCCCCACTAACAATAGCAATAACGACGAACACTATCCTATGAAACGTCACACACATACTGCCGTTAAAATCAGTACGTTGCATGCACGCTGCCTCGAGCCGACTGATCTACTGTAGTACCACTACCTTCGCACAGCCATTTCTGTACAATTATTAGGATTTACGCGAGGGAGTGTCGAAGAACTGATCCATTAATACACAGTAAAACCCCGTTATAGTGGCGTATTTGAGAGACGGAAACAGCCTACGTTATGGGTAATCCACGATGTCGGGAAATTGTGTGATATGATTAAAAACCCTCCCAAAGTATACGGTGAGATACCGTTTAACGCGAGGATACAGTCGAGGTTATATTTGCATATATTTTCCATGGTTTCTAGAACGTTGATTAAGAATTTGCACATTATATATGGAATGAGTCAAAAACGGTGTACTTGCTCTTGTAGCGTCTTTGGAATTGCACATATTGGCGACAAAGACGGCTCGCGACACTGTTGTCTCAAAGAAAAAACAACGAACTAGTGTAAAAACTTTCCCGACTCCCGTGACGATATCTTTATCTAAATCATAACAAGAGTACAAGAAAATATACGTCATCAGGATGAGGTATAAAATCACATGAAACCAGTGCAAAGAGTAATCAACAGCAGGGCTGAGTGTCCAAGGTCGGCGAGACCGCAACGGCGGTCGCGATGGACGGAGGCTGCGACAAACAAAAGTGGTGAATGCTTCCTCGATGCAATGAGCGAGGAAAACGGACGGACGCGACAACGACATCATCAGAACGGCCCGGAGAGGTAGGCCGGAGTGGCGAGGGGCATCGGGGTGGCGACGGAATGCGCGAAGACGCCGTGGTGCAGGCCGAATGCCGGATCGCCATGGCCACCGGTGAAGGCATTTAAAGCTGAACCGCTACGCATAGAGTCGATCGACGAGCAATGCTTCTGCTGGGAGGCGGACA